ACAAATAGGCTGTTTTGAATTTAAAAATATTTATCTAAGTCCAATAATAGTTTATTTTTTAGAATTCAATAAAATTCAATTTTTTTTTAGTTAAATCAATTCTGTAGTTCTGTCTGATATATTTTTTTTCCATTTAGCTAGCCGTATTTTGATTTCTGCGTCTAATTATGTTATCTAATTCGGTAAAATATCTTTATAAAAAGTGTTACCTCTTGAAAATCTTTTATATCATTTGAATTTCTAAGATAATTTATCGGTAATCACATCAATGGCTCAATCATTCAACTATAATTTACTACATAACTATAAACTTATTTATCATGCCCGACTATAAATAAACCGAGAAAAATAATTAGTAATAAAAATATTTCATAATAAATGTATATAATTTGACTGAATTTTCAAAATTCAAATTATTTTTATTTTTTTGGGGGAAAGCGATAGATTCAACCCCCCCCCCTTTATACGCTCCTGATTTGTTTGAGCTTAATATACTTACCACTTAATAGTACCTATACAGAGTGTCCCACGAGGATTTACCCATTGCTATATCTCACGAAATAATGGAGATATCAAAATTCTGGTTTTATAATAAAATTCACAGGGATAAAAACTGCGATTAGTCCATTTATTAATTTATTTTAATGCTTTTGTAAAAAATTTAAAAAATATATTTTTTTATTTAATTATGTCCAAAAAAATTAACGATAGCCATTTTGTAGAGTTTATTTTCCTGAAAATATTGACGTTTCAAAAAGTTATTTTCATTAATTTCCCGATTTTTAATACTTTTTCTAGTTTTGAAGAAATAAAATATGATTATAAATAACCTAACTATCAGGAACACGGAAAGCATTCGGCCGTCCGTATGGGAATGCGCGCGGCGAGGTGGGTCACATGTTTGATWACATTATGGTGTTAAATAATTCGCAATTTTTTTCGAAACTAAAAAAAAATATTAAAAATCAGAATAGTAATGAAAATAAAATGTTGAAACGTCAATATTTTCAGAAAAAAAAACTCTACAAAATGGTTATCTTTAACTTTTTTGGAATTAATTGAATATCAAAATATATTTTTTAACTTTTTTACCAAAACATAAAAATAAATCAAAATATGAAATAATTGTAGTTTTTATCCCTGTGCGCCTTATACACAAAACCAGAATTTCGATATCGCCGTTATTTCGGGAGATATCGCAATGGGACACCTTGTATACAGTAACTGCAAGTTAAAAAGACATACAAAATTATAAAACATATTGAATTAGCACCCTCGGCAATAAAATTATGAACACGACTTATTATTTCGAAAAGAAAAAAAAATGTCATGCATCAATCTATCGACTGTTCTCACTTCGGTATTAGGATGGTTATTGGTCGATGCGGTGCAGTATCGCTTAGTAGCTGCTGCCAGCTGGCTCCTTCTAAGGAGAAAACCTTTTCGGAGTTGAACTTGTCGCATCGTACAGTGTCATCGTGTCATCCGGTCATCTGGATAATGTTAAACGTTCAAAACCTATTTCAATCATCGGTCCATCGCGTTTACGTRTCCTTATTCGATTTAAGCACAAAAAATTATTTTGTCGGTACCAAAACGGGTGACTTAAAAGAATTATTAGAGGTAAACCGACAGCTCGCCACACCTTGCGGCGG